CATATTTGCCACTGGCAAGAAGGAGGCTTCCAGTTTCCACGAGTGCCCATCCGATAGGAGATCCCCATTGTCGAATGGGCCCGGAGATCTCTGAGCCCAGTCCTGGCGAGACCTCGGGCGAAGTTGGTTGGACCACCCCAGGTGGGGGCATCACCGAACCCACAATTCCGACGATGTCTCGGGCGAAGAAGACTCGGACCACGTGGGGTGAGAACATGCATCCATGAACCCGGAGTTGCGAGGATATCCCAAGCGAAACGAAAAGTCCACGGCAGACGCGAACCACCACAAATGCGAGCAAGCGGGATCGGATAACGTGAGGCAAGACGATCGATTCATCCAGAGTAGCGAGGATGCATCAGGCGAAGATGGCTGGACGACCTTAGGCCAGGTTATCTCCGAGCCCAGAGTTGTGACGGAGTGTGAAGCGAAACTGGCTGACCACCTCAGGTCAGAGCATCCATTGGCCCTGAGTTGCGAATATCTCCGGGGGGTAGCTGGCTGGAACTCTCGCGTCTCGGAGCCCACAATTGCGAAGATGTCTGGAGCAAAACGGGCTGGACCGCCCCAACACAACAACGAGGATGTCTGACGCGACACGGGCTGGAGCACCTCTCCCGTCGGGAGAGAGGGAGTACCATCTTCGTCCTCGGCATCCTCATTCCTTCCCTCCTCATTTCTGTCAGCCGCACACGCGCCCTCCTCTGTCTCCGCATTATCGACCTCATGCCCCGCCATCTCGCTTCCCCCCCTCTCCTCCTCCTCCTCCTCCTCCTCCTCCTCCTCATCCTCGTTCTCCTCCTCCTCCTCCACCTCCTCGTCGTCGTCCTCCTCCTCCTCCTCCTCCTCCTCCTCCTCCTCCCTCTCCTCCTCCTCCTCCCCCTCCTCCTCCTCCTCCTCCTGCATCTTCTCCTTCTCGGACTGGCGGCGACCACCACAGTCCCGGGTGGCTCTCTGGGAGCACGATGGTGGCTGCGGACGTGCTGAGGCCCGTGGAGGCCTCTGGCAGGGCCCGTCCGGGCGCCGAAGCACATATTTCGGGTGCCGCCTCGGGCTATTCTTCGGCCGCCTGTGAAGCCGTTTGGGGGTGTCGCGGCGGGTCCCGGGGTGCCGTCCTGAGGCCTCTTCGGTCGGCGGTGGACAAACCTCCCTTTAGTGAACCACCCTTTAGTGAGAATGGCCCAGGACCGAAACCGACGGACCTGGACCCGCAGAAGTGACGGCCGCGGCGCCCTCTCGCCAACCGAGAACGACCAAATCGCTAATCGACGTGTCAGGGTAGGAGGTCTGTCAGCCTCCGACGCCTCGTGGGCCGTCTCGGCGCCCTCTTGGGGCGCCTCGGTGCAGCCCAGGGAGCGTCTCGAGAGGTGCCGGATCGCCGGCCACGGGAGCAGGCGACAGCCGGAGAGTACTCGAGGGTCCCTTGGGAAATCGGCTATGGCTGACGTCTGTGCCTGTCGAACAGGCATTTGGGAGCCCTGTGGGGGCGCCTTGACAAGGCGCGGGGGCCGTTTCGAAACCAGCGGCGCCAGCTTCGGGGAGTCCTCGAGCTCTCTTCGCCCCCTGGCGGGCTCATTGGCGTGTCTGAGCTCATTTTTGGGGACCGTCTATGGGAGCCTTCTTGCGCCATCTTGGCCGCCTCTTAGACCGTCTTGTCACCCTCTTGGGGTGTGTATTGTTCGAGAGAATCACCTGAAGGTTCGCTCGATTTGCCAGTTCCCCACACGGTGACGAATGCAAAAACTTGCTGTGGCCCCAGACTCGGGTTGAAACAGCCGACGCGTGCGGCAGTTGCTTTTGCCAACCACGCTGCCCAACTCCGCTGCCCCTCATAGGGAGCTACTCGGGGATGGACAGACCTCCCTTTAGTAAAACGTGGCTTAGTGAAAACGACCTCGGGCCCGAAACTGGCGGGCGCGAGCCTGGTAAATGACGGCCGCGGCGCCCTCTCGAGAACCGAAAACGGACAATCCACTAATCGACGTGTCACTGCTGGGGGTTCTGTCCATCCCCGAGTCTAAATTTAGGTCGGGCATGTCCTCCTACAGGCGGATTTTGGAGGAAAAAGGAACATAGTCCAAAAATATTTGACAATGCTTGAAAAAATGGTCAAAGAATCGTCCCCAGACTATTTTTGGACTATTCTTGAGTCTTCCTCCTGTAGCGGGTCAGAGTAGGAGGTCTGTCCACCTCCGACGCCATCAGGGCGTGCCTGGGCGATCTCGGACGCCTCTCCGTCCGCCCCAGAGCGTCGGGCAGCGCAGCAGCGGGCAGCGGGGAAACCCTTGAAAGACCACGGGGGAAATTCGCGACGTGTGCCGCTTGCCCTCTTGGGGAGTCTGGGATGGCTCGTGCACGGGGGACGCGTTGGGGCCCCTCTGGGCCCTCGTTAGGGCGCGTTTGGCGTGTCCAGGCTCATTTGGGAGAGCGTCCGGGGGCCTCTTGGGCCATCTTGGGCCGCCTTGGCGCTCTCGTGGCGTGTCTTGGGCTTCTCTTGGACGTCTCCTGGGCCGCCTCGGGGCGTCAGGAAGCGGAGCATGCGACAACGGGAAAATCTC